TAAGTGATATTCTCTTAATTATGGTAGTCCTAAATCAGGCCAGGCATGGTGGTGTACACCTGTAATCCCAATACTTGGGAGGCAGAGGCAAGGGGAATCTCTTAAGTTTGAGGCCACCCTGGTCTACAACTCAAGTTCCAGTACAGCCAGGGCAATACAGAGAATTCCTGTCTCAAAAATGATTAGTAAATAAAAAATAGTCTTAAATGTTACAAATGGAAGCGTACCATTTAGTTTAGGTGCAGAAGTGAGTAAAAGTTGTATAGTTTTAAGCACCATGTCTTTGAAGTAATTTGCACTGTGAAGGCCTAATGTTCCTTGTCAGTGCAGACTTGACAGTCTGTAAGTTTGTTTAGAAAAGGCAAATGATGCCTGAGTCATGGAAGCTACAAAAGTTGATACAAACTTCATTAAGGATATAATGTTCAGTAAAAAAAACCTAGAATTTAGAATAGATTTCTTCACTTTTTTGTCTTACGTGAAATGATTTAACATTTAACCTTTCCGTAACTTACAACTGTGTTTTATTACTTGAGTCGAGGACATTTTAATACTTGGGGAAAGATGATGTAAGCCTTTTATATAATTATGTCTGTGGTAGTATGAAAGTTATTTGCTTTATTGTGGTTAATAGTCAAGCATTGAAGGAAACCAAAAAGGAATCCACAAAGTAACCTGTTGGGTTTGTTGTGGTATAACAACAGCCTTTAGAGCTAGGTTTGTGCAGTGCCACCCACCCTCCTTCCCTCATGTTGAGTGTCTATGAAATGATTGGAATTGGTGTGACTGTCATCAATTTCCAGTGACTGGTGTTTGTGACTTAGTGAGTCTGGAGCACTGTACTTCCAAAGACATGGAGATTGACACCTGTATTCTCCACTGAGAAATGCAGTACTGTCATTAACCGTAAGTATGCTGTAACTTCTAAAGGCTTTTTGAATGTAATCCACACTAGCTTAAAAGCTAAAACCATACCCTACAGAATACATTTACAGTGATGGAAGGTTGCTCACATTGGCTTTCTGTAAAATATTGTGTTAAATTTGGTCTTAACTCCGCCTATTTATAGTGCATTGCCAATAAAATTGGCTCTATTTTAGTTGCTATTATCATTGTTTCGGCCCTTGTCACTTCTTACTGTAATTTTAGGTCATTACTATTATTCTTGGCTGCCATCTCCCGGGACCAAAAAGGTTATGAAGTTCTGTTTCCATTAATAGAATATATAAAACGTAGGATCCATTCAGAAATATGGACAGTGGGAATGTCATCTGTGTCTTCATTCACAGTTTGGCTCTTTCAACAGGAGTATAGTGGTAGACTAGAGGTATAAACCAGATGAGTAAAATGCAATGATTCTTAAACTTAGGCCAGAACCAGGCCTTCCAGCAGCATGTCCTGTTGTCCTTGGGTCTCAGGCAGAAATACATTGTTTAAGAATTCTCAGCTATATATAACTGTTACCAAAAGTTCTTTCCATGTAGCAAAAAGTCAGTGTTTTGCCCCTTCTGACATGCTAGGAAACTGCTATCTCTCATAGTTTACATCTGACTCCCTGATAATTTTTTAAAAGATCATTCAATTCTGTTTATGCTGTTTGTGAAGGCAGTCAAATAAAAGTTGGTGATAAATGAGAATCTTGTTGTTCCTGTTTCATTGTAGTTTTGATCTGAAATAGTTTTATACCTAGCCCCTGAATCAAATATAAGTGACTGGCAAGTACTTCTACAGATTGTCTTTACTCTTTCATTAAAACAAAGTATATGTAGCATGGAATTAGAAATATTTATTCAGAATATAAGAACGTTTGTAAAATATTATAAATGTCTCTGTATAAATAAATGGAGTTTTTTTTAAACAATTCTATATCAAATAACACAAAGTAGCCATTTTACAGCAGCTAAAACTAAAGGCATCTGGAAACATTTAAAGCTACAAGTGAGGCTAAAAAATTACAAGGTATAGTACAGTGTTTAGTAGCCACTTTCAAATGAGACTCCAGTACAAACAGAACAGTACTGACAGATGCAAACACAGTCACGTGTGCTTTAACAACAGTACATTCAAGGCAGGATTTTCTAATTCGAGTGGTATAAAAGCACTTTTTCAATTGATAAAAAAAGTAAATTTCATGCAAAGTAAGTTAACAATATGTCTAAAAGCAGATTAGAAATAGAAATGAACATGTTTTGTAATCTTTGTATCAGGTTCTAACAAAATTAGGTTATCGGGGCTCTTGAAGTGGGCATATTAATGGGAGCATTGCAAAGGAACACTACAGACTCTACAAGTGTTTTCCACATGAGTCTGACCATGGAAAAGGCGAACAATAGAGCAGAAACATAGCTACCCCGGAGCATCTCTATGGATGTGGAATTCGCTACAGAACTTGCTTGCTGTTTGCTGAGCAGGCAGTTCCAGTAACTATCAGATGAGTGACAGGAACATCAAATGGTGAGTCACAGGTGTCATTATCCAACATTGGTTCTTGATTCTGGGACTGAGTTTTTTGGGGGTTTTTGTTTGTTTGTTTGTTTTGTTTTTTTGGAATACAGATAAGGTGTTAAGATTATACTGAATTACCAAAATTGTAATGCTTGCCTGCATAGGAAAATGTCTTCCCCTATACAAGTGTGCTCAGTTATGCTGGGGTCACAGAATCTCAAATTGGCTATTGGCAGCAGATGCATTTATTTGTAAATGAATACAAAGGTGTTTCAAAGATAAAGTTAAGTGAAATAGGGGGCCAGAGTTCAGAGGCCCCAGGAACTCAATTGTGCACACACTGGAGGGTTTTTATAGCAAGCTGTGCTTCCTCTATAACAGCATTTGCAAGCTGTGGCCAAGATGTTCCCTCATTCTTTGTCATTTAGGTTCTATTGGCTAAACATAAAATTAATTGCTGATTTCTTCCACAATTATCTTGTTCTAGAAGCTGCAGTGTGCCACAGAAAGGAAGTACTGATGTCACTTAAGCTCTTGTGCCCCGCTCTTCCCTGGGACCACATCCTAATGAAGATCAGGGCAGAAACTCTAGCCAACGTACACTTGTTCTCTGTTGGGCTCTAAAAAGATGTTCAGTTCAGTAGGTGATACTGCACACTTAGTGAACACTGGTTTAGTTTTTTTTTTATTTAGGGCACTGTGCTCAAATAATGATTGGAACATACTCCCAATTAAACGTTTATAATTGAAAGCATTTATGGAAGGAAGTGTTTTGACAAATAAGAGTGATGTTTTTCTCACCCTTCACTTAAAATATAGTGTAATAACTCATACACCTGGCAGCTCTGAAGTACTTTACACAATTTATATCATTGCATAGACTTTTTTTGTGGGCCATAGTGTATAGGGATTACAGAATCCTGGTAGTTTTCAGTTCATGCCAGTGATTCAGGCATTCCAACCCTGCAGCAAACTAATAGAGTTTTTGTTTTGTTTTCTGTTCAGGTAATGTCTGTGTATGCAGGAACTAGAAGACTTCCAGCAGTCTCAGGTTTCCCTTCTTAATGTTTTTTTTAGAATGAATAAAAACCTAAGGCTATGCCTTGGACTGCTGTTCCTTAGAGAACCTGGACGAAGCTCTATTTTAGAGTTCTCCGAAGCCCTTGTAAGTACATGTGTCTGAAAGAACTGTCAGTTAAATGTGGCATCCAGTTTCTGGCCACACACACATTAAGAAGTGTGCCACATCGACATATGAGAGTAGGTGAAAGTCTTTGCCTCCACTGGTGACATGTGACACTCATTTATGCCTGGAGTATGTATGGCTCAGAGACAAGGATAAACCTCAGTCTGATCACATGACAGTCTTTGTGAGTCCAATTCAGGATTTCTTACTGTTGCAAGGCAAATTTGGCTGATACGCAGGGGCTGGTTGCAGCAGACCAGAGCCAGCCATGGATAGATGCCTTCTGGGCCTGCTGCCCTATACTTGGGTTTGTCTGCCTCAGTTCACAATGGGGAGTATAGTCCAAGGGAACCTATAAAGGGTTCCTAATGGGCCCTCTTGCTCTGCTTATTTCTTTCTGAGTCAAGATCGGCTTTGATTAGTAAAGGTAACTGTCTAAAGAGCAACAACCACTGAAGACTGTAGTAGTGGGGGTTTCAAAAATATGAAATTCTGAAGGTTTTTAACCCCATACAAATTAAAATCAAGATAATTTTGTTAGCAATAATAGACATGTTAATGAAAACCATTCCCTATTTAGAAGTAGGTTTGGAAGAGTCAGGTTAAAAAAAAAGGAAAATTACTCAGGCACCTGCTATCATGTATTTTAATCAGTGTGACAATTCACATAGTCAAATGCCTGCTGCTTCAGCCCTAAACAAAGATTGGAAATTACAAGGAAAAGATTGTATAGTCTTTTCCCACTTATTTAAAAATGTGGCATTTTAACCTGGCAAACACTTTTCACCAAGTTGCCATACATTTATGTACTTAGAAACTCAAAGGCCAGGTAGGTAGGATAGGATTGTTGCTTTGGGTTCTTTTTTGTTGTTGTTGTTTTGTTTTGTTTTGTGGAGGAACTATAGACCTAGAAGCATAGGTTCTCTGGTTTTATCTGGCGGGGGCAAAGCACAGAGAGCCAGCAGAACTCATCACTGCTTGGGCCTTCCATCTCAGCATCCTGCTTGTGATCCATTAGAGCAGCACATGCTGTTCACCAAATATGATGCACAGAACAGATAGCCTAGCTGTTGTCCCTTACCTGGAATGTGGTGTCTCCTGGACCAGGACAACCATGCCCATCCCATTTGCTTGGGGCAGACATTTCCTGAAGCTACCTGGAAAACTGAAAGCTAATTTTATCTATTAAATTCTTGGGGTGGTGGGGAGGCAATAGGTGTTTCTATCCACACATTTTCCTCATGATAAAATGCAACTTTACCCCGAAAGTGAATACAGGTATTAACAAAAAGCTAGAAAGCCATCAATACTCAGGAGCCTTGACACATTTTTGTTTCTCTTGGCAGGATGAGGTTTAGCCATTGTGGGAGGGGGCTGGAGCAACCCCCCCCCCCCCAGCCTGGAGTCTACAGCATCAACACAGTGCAGCATGTCATCCAGTTATGACAGTGTAACCCATTTCTCATAGCAGATGAGTAGGATCTTGGGGCTACAGGTGAAAAAAGGCCAAACTGTTCTTTTCTATTGCTCACAGACACAGTTAAACATTCTAGAATGCCTCCCTAGAGGAGTTCAGGTACTTAGGTCATAACTTCCCGGTCACCATTTAGCTTGAAATCACCTGGAGGGACAGAATAGGCCTATCAGCCATTTCCTCATCCTATTCCCTTCATGATGTTGGGGGACTAAAGGTTCAGTGTCACTCTATTAAAAAGGTGGGGACCATCTTTTACAACATTAAGGGTCTCTTCAGTGTCCAACAGTGTAAAGCCTCTTGCTCTTAGAGAGGCAGGGCCCAGCTACACACGTTCTCCAGTGGCTAGGTTTGATTCAGAATAGGAACGGTAGTGCCCTGGGGCTGGGAAAGAGATAATACTACTTTTCTCTACCCTGGAGGAAACCCCTGGTAAAATCTTAGAGATATATGCATTCTGAATTCTACTCTTGCTAGACGGGAACTAAAACAGCTTTAGCCTAGTCCTGCCTGTGAAAGAAAAATGGAAGATGCTTCTATTTGTCCAGTACAGAACTGGCTACACACAGCCTTGATGCTCTCTTTGAAACTGCAGTGTGTCTGGGATGATCAATGACACTGCTGTCCTGTGGTCTGTAACTCTCAGCTAATCCCTCTATGTGACTGTATCTCAGGAATATGGTACCATAGGACCTGGAAGCCAGAGCCTTGTGCCCTAGATGCTGGAGACACACAAAACGCTGTCACTTTTCCCTTAGAGGAGGAAGCAAGAAAAGTCCATAGTCTATGAAAAGCAAAAACAAAAACAAATCAAGAAAAACAAAAACAGCTTAGAAGTCTGCATAAAACCAAATGCCAGGATTCCCACTGCTATACAGAACAAGTGAGAGCATGAGAACTTGAGTGGTGAAAACACAAAAGACACAACTAAGCACTTAGCTGGGGCCATTGCTGATGCCTTTTGTGGCCAGGCCTGGAGTAGCTGGAACCTGTGCATACATGGTCCACAGTGCCATCATGACCGCTCACGCCAAGGGTGGAGCCCGTAACCTATATACAATCTTCCCCTTCCTTGGCTCTGTCTCCACTGAGGACTTCAGAGCTGCTGGGGTTTAGCCCCTTGAGGCTGAGCTTTGGGCCCTGATGCCTGTTACAGTGAAGTTTCGTTGGTATGTGGCCTGGAATTCTCTTCCTCCAGAAGAGCTATTCTTTGCTTGAGCATTCTCACTTGGGTTTCGTGTCGCTCCACCATAGCCATCATCTGAGATTCCAACTTCTTCAGCTTGTTTTGGTGCTTCTTCTTTGCTTTTTCATAGGCAGCCACCAGGTTACTGAGTGAAAACAGGGAAGCAAGGATTTATCTTAAGGAATGAGTGACACCCTATTCTGTACGATGCTGGGAGTGCAGCTGGCCCCTTCAGTTGGGATCCAAAGTGTAATGATTAGAAAGTGCACAGTACTAGGACTCTGGTTTAAGCATAGTAATCCAGGCCCAGGCTATATGCTGTGTTAGCGCAGAGGAGTTAACCAACAGCCCATATGGCCACATTTAAAACAGAAGATGAGGTTGCTGAATTCTAGAAAATTAAATACTAGGTATACTTATCTTGTGGCTGCTAGCTATAGATGGTCAAGTGTAATAAAGTGTTCTCTCACCCAGGAGCGGGCTGTAAAGAAATGCTGTCCTCTAAAGAACACAGGTGTGTGAATTGGCCCTGGACCACTGCCCACTATAGTAAGGCTACAAACAAGCCCAGGTTTATCCCGTATTATCTCTGCTCCAAAACAGAACATAAACTCCCCTCATGTATACTGTCCCTAGCAGGACTTCCTAAAGTGTGACTTGATGACACAAAGCCCTCTAGGATTCATAAAACCTCCTTCAGAGGGTCTTATGTTGATGGCAAAGCAGACTGACATTCAGGTAGCCTATTAAGCCAGGGATCTTTACAAAACTAAAATGCGCTATTCTGATTGCAATATGGAAAACAGTATTTTTCATAAAAGTAACATCTACTAAGCTTGAATTTTGTAAATGAATAAAAACTTAAATCTCTTCCAGGCACAAAGGTTCTGAAGTCCTTATTTTTTTTAAATATAGAAAGATCATATCCCAAATGTTTTGGGACTCTTGGAGTGTAAAGTACCCTAAAATGTTTCCCTGGGAGAGGTATTGCTCTAATAGGTGATTTGATTGCCAATTGAAAACACTGGCTCAAAAAGACTTTTTCTTTTTACACAACTTCTCAGAACCTTTATTATAGGAAATGTCAGGGAAAGACTGCAATAGACTTTATTTCCCTAAACCCATCTAATCTGAAATGATATTCATCTTTAATTTCCTCGGTTTCTGGTCATCTGTATGTCAGATTCTATACTCACTTCCCAGGAGAACACAGGGATAGATCACCCTGTGCTACTAGTCACTTCCCAGGAAATACAAAGAAAGATCTCCTCGTGCCCGGCCTCTGGGCGGCACAGTTTTTAGGAGTTTTACCTGTTGGCCCGTTTTAGGTCATTAACAAACTCTGCCGACTGCTGGTGTCTGATCTCACTGCTTTTGGTGAGTCTTTCCAAGGCGCTGACCAGCTCCTGAACTCTGGCCTTCAACTTCTTCTCCCTGTATCAAAGAGACAGTAGCAGCCATCAGCAGGTGTTGGTGATGGTGGGAAGGGAGCAGGGGTCCAAGGGTTGTGGTCCAGAGCAAACAAAGTTAAGATAGCAATGGGCTGAGGAGCACAGTTTCTTGGCTTTGCACAGCCAGAATGAGCATTTCTCATCACTGCATTCTCAGACTAACTGGACCCTGCTTCTTCAGTGAGCCTCCTAGAGATCTTCAGTGTACGTCCCATGGAAGAAGACAGCTAGTTGATGCTACTGGCACAGATGTTCCTTCGGTCGTGGCCACAAACCCTCTTGGCCTACATGTCTAAGCAGTAGCTCCCAGCTCCATGCCTGGGTTGCCTAATTGGACAAGTTCTTGTTCATTACCAGATCATAACTTAAGGAAACAAAAATGGTGATACTGGAGAAAGGAATTGAAATGACATTTGTTTCATCATAAAATTCCTTTTCATCTTCAAAGTCCTCATTTCTCAGTTAAGTACTTAAATTCCATTTGCACTTTGATTGGACTCCATGTGTTCTCTACTGTAGTGACCCATGCCAGCTGAGACAGGAAGCACGGTGCTTTCCAGAGTCCTGGCAGCTTCTGATTTATTTTTTGCTTCCCTGATGCCACTTCTATAGTGTCACTGTCATAATATACTTAGCAGCCTGGCCTTACTGAGTTAGTTCCCTGCACCAACACCTGGGCACTATGCCTCATTGATAACTTGAGAGTTGCCTGGTTCACAACTAGTATTCTTTAGGCTTCTTGAGAATCCAGGGTATAGGAAAGGAATTACACTGCAAGTGTAAAGACTCCAAGTGACACTGATGAACCCGTGTGCCTGCTGGGATTGGTAATATCCAAAATACTAGCAGAAGATGCACACATCCCTTTGACTAAGCAAACTGATTTCTAGAAATACCTTAAGTATTTGTGTGTATCACCCCAAAGGTATATAAGGTCAGTTGAAGCTGGAATCACTTCAGCTTGCCTTACAAGGAGAAGTGGCCTAGCAAGTTGGCTCAATGGGTAAAATCACTTGCCACCAAACCATGCTTGATGACCTGAGTGCACCTTCAGAATCCACACAGTAGAAGGAATTAATTGAATCTTTAGTTGTCTTTCGACCACTACAGCATATGATCGTGTTCACAAACAAAAACCAGGGAGTGTTTGAATTAATCAAGATCTGTCCATGTTGCCAGGTGCTGGCGCACGCCTTTAATCCCAGCACTCGGGAGACAGAAGCAGGCGGATCTCTGAGTTCCAGACCACCCTGGTCTACAAGAGTTAGTTCCAGGACAGCCTCCAAAGCTACACGGGGAAACCCTGTCTTGGAAAACCAAAGATCTGTCCTTGTTACTGCAGTGCCTGTAGATAAATCTGCCTAAACTGAGATCATTATGCCTGACATGGAAGTATAGAATATTGTTTTTATTTAAAACACAAACAAAAAAAACGAGGCATGGCATGTATTGTGACAATACACTAGAAAACCATAGATTGAAGATTCAGTGGTGGTTAGGGAAGGGGGTTAGCAGAGGCTTCATTATTTCACTCATTTTTGCATTATTTGAACATTTTTGTATGGCATGTGAGCAAGCACATCATGGAACCCATGGGGTTTTCTGTCCTCAGATCACTGAATGGTTTCAGAGATACTTAGAATGTTTGGGGGGGGGGGACACACAGAAACTAAGATGGCTGCATCCATTGTGACCTATATGTCTCTGTCCCTCATTTTCCCTTCCTGATCCCTCTAGTATTTAATCCTTGACATTTCAGCTATCAGCAACTTGACCTGTCCAGACTGATGAATGGAGGAACACAAAACCCAAGGAGAAAGCATGGCAACCAGCCTGTGCTATGGGGACCCATTCTTCACTGGTCCTTCCACTTGCCTTAGCTACAGGATGGTTGGCCACAGGGCAGGCAGGAATGAGGGTGCACACCAACCCCCACTGGGGAATGTGTTTATCCTGAGCATTGGCAGTCTCTAAGAAATCTGGTCTAGCTGTGTTTCCCATGGGAATCACAGTGGTGGCATTCCCTGCTAGAAGACAGGGAGGGGCTCCTTCTGTCCCTAAGCCTTCCAAGGAGCCCTCCTCCAGTGAGGCAAGGTTAGAGCACCAGGGGCACTACTTCACCCAGCCCTCGTTGGCTGAAATGTTACTTAGGTTTTGCTAGTAGATTTGATTTCTTTCTTATAAAAATTTGATTGTGTCTGTGTATCTATGTGGTGTGGTGTGAGTACAGAGGTCATAAGGTTGATTAATTGTACAAAAGAGCAAGAATAAGTTATGGAGAAAACTAAAAATATAACCACCAACTCAAAGAAATTCACAACAAAAATCTACAACAAAGGGCTTCCTTCCCTGGCAATGGGTTCTCCCAGACCCAGAGGACTTTATGGACCTGGCAGACTCTATAGTAGGACAGGCTGCCCGCCCCCCAAGCGAAGATGCTCTCAGACCTGCCCATCCCCAGCTTGGGATGATATGGAACATTGCCAGCTCTGGAAACTCAAAACTGCCCTCTGGACCACTCAGCTACACTAGAGAGAAGTATAGACATCAGGAGAACTTATTTGAAGACACAAAAATAGGCTATGCTTCCAACTTGAGTTCTTTTTATTGTTTTGAGAAGACAGACCTCTGTAAGAGTCAGGACATAGATCAGTTTCCAAGATCCCAACAAATGCTATGCTGAAGTAACGCTGTATATCTACTGTGAAAGCCAATAGGTGCTATGTAAGTGTAAAATAGATATTGGAGTTTGAAACTTCAATAATATCAAAGTTAAATATCTCAATTTTTAAAACCCTGACAACATGCCAAAATATTGCTATACTGAGTTAAATATAATAGTGATATTCAGTCATATTTAATGAACAATGCCAGGAATTGAACCTTGGGAAAGTGTCTACCCTGAGCTATACCCTATGCTGTTAAAATTTAATTTCACATGTTTTATATTTTTATTGTAGAATTAAGAAAATTTAAAATGATGTATGTGACTTGTAGCTCAGATAATGGCAGAAAGAGAATTATGGGGACATAAGAAAGGGACCCCTGGCCCAGCTGGTTAAAGCCTCATGTTGGCCAGTCATCAAGAACTGTACTGGCCACTTCTCTCCCTTGCCAGCCACAGACAAGGAAAGACCATGTACTGATACTAAAGTATCTGGAGTCACCTCACAATCTTACTTATCAAATAGGGAAATGGGAGTGGGGCAACCTTTTAAAATAGGACTTGAGAGAAACCCAGGTGGCAGGTAGGATTAATGCTGAGACAGTCGTAACTCCTCTGGCATACACACCTGGGTATGCCTACTTTTCTGCTGTCCTACCTTGGTGAACACATACCAAACTTGCCTGTCTTTCTTTCTGGGTGCATGTATAGTTAGGAGAACTAACCTTCATGCTTAAAAATATTGTCAATAAAATCTCAAATCTCTGCTGCATACTGACCAATCCTGAAATTCTTTTCAGGGTGAAAGCCATGAATCTGGCTGGGCCTGGCCTGAATTGAGGTCCATGAGAAATTAAGGGTACTTCTTGGGCTGTTTCCCACTCACAGGATGACTTGGAAAATCTAAGAATTCACTTGCCTATTCTATTCAGTCATGTTGAACTCTGAGCCATTAGCCGTGAGAAAGGGAAGAATTTATGTGGTTTCTGTACATAAAACAGTATGCCAATGCAAATGTTTCTTTGGCTTCATACATGAGAAAATTAAATATAAATTGCTCCCTCAGTACAAATGCATTCACAGTGTTCTGGGGGTGGCCTAGAATTGCAGTCTCTTGCTTGTTATTTTGTTTGTGGTGAATATCAAGTGAAAACAGAATAACTATATGTGGAATAGGACTCAAAAACCAACCATCCGGTTCAGGTTTCAGTTATGGGTCTTCCACTCCAGGGTTTAGCACCCTCACCAAAACATGCACTATTTATGTCATAAAAGGTGGTACTTTACCACATAGGAGGTGGCTTGGCTTGGTGTGTATGTTGTCATAGTTCTAAGCAGTGGAGTACACATAAAGAATCTAGGACTAT